TGTAGTTTTTACAGTTCTAGGCTTATAAGAGCTTACAAGAACCCACTTTTTTATGTTAGCTTATAGTAGAAGATTTATACTATTTATCCGTAAAACTTATAATCTTATAAGTATTTTATTAGATTTAATATAATTTTTTATATTCGAAACTACAAAAACTACAAAACTACAAAACTACACTACAGTCAATGCTCTGGCTCCACACGAGTTAATACCGATATCCATCTCTAATAGTAGGCTCTTTAGTATTCTCCAACAAGCTAAGGAGATGGAACCAATTAAAGTGGCCAATGTAACTGGTAGTGTGGTCAAATCAAGAAGAGTGACAAGGAAACACAGGTTATCATCTAGCTCTGCGGAACAGCTACGTTCAAAAGACGAAGCAAACTACACTGACCTGGAGAGGGCTGCAGTGGATCGAGCTGAACGGGATGACGAGGACTTCGAAGAGCGGTCGACTAAGCGGAGGGGTTGAAAGCGCCCGGGCAGATTTTTTTCATTTTAGAGACGACATCGAAACCAGACGTCACGACACGAAAGGCAATGCGGCGTGGCTACTCCCGGCTGGGGAGCTTCTGGAACAAGAACTCAAACTGCCAGGGACGCCTCGGTTGGAAAGTCAAGGATGCGTGGTTGTCTAAAGGTGCTCAAAAGGCCCAGAAAGCATATGATGAGCTTGTTGAAAAAATTAAACACGTCAAGCAATACAGTAACAATGGCATAATGGACAACGTGGCTATTTCCAGTGCCTTGGAAAATGGCGCGGTGGAATACACCGGAAAGCTTCGTATCAAGAACCACATGGGCCTGGAGGGCGCTGTAGACCAGCTTCCTTCTTCCAAGGCTCTGGCGCAGTTGTAATCAAATCTATTCGACAAGGCCTGCTCGGACATTGCAGATAAGGAAGAACCTCTGCAGCGGGCCCTCGAGACGCTCGCGGTCGCCCAGCAGCCTCTCACCTCGGAAGAGCTTGCTCACGCTGTCTTCATCAAATCCGAGGACGGTAGCATTAGAAGAACTTGCTCATAGCCTCATAGCGTGGGTTTGTTTGACCTCGCCCGGCCTTTTGTCAGCACCATAAATGTGGGAGGTGGGAAGCGTCCACAGTTGCGTCTCGTCCATCAGTCTCTCGAAGAGCTCATACTTCAAGCTCCGCCGTCGGGATGGTGCTCCGAAGAGAAGCCGAGCAGGCGACAGCAAAGCGGGGAGCGCATGATGGAGCTGAACGGACTCCTACTACGAGGTTGTATCAGATAACTTCTCTTCGAGGAATGTGAGAAGGCGAGCCTCTTGTCAGGTTTTGGGAACGGTTCTGAAGACACTGAGCTTTTCACCATGGAATTGTGTTCGATGACGACGACGACCAAGGTCTGACGGCCTCCGCATCGACTGGCTCAAAGTCGAATCAAGGCTTCGACCCGTTTGAGCTCGGTTTGGGAATTTTTCGCCTAGGCTGCCTCGTACTGGACATGTCACCTCTCCACCGTGTCGTCGGAAAGGCGCCCAGATCCTCTAGACTTGATTGCTCTATGCCGAAAGGATTCTCGACGGCTAGAGAACTGGGTAGAACAGTGGCGACGGCCGAACTGTTCTTATGTTGCTGAATACGACTTCCCCGAGGCTATGCCACATCTTGATCCTCTGGTCGACACCGCCATGTTTGGCCCGGCAGCATCCCTGGCCGACCTGCTCAGGCTTGACCTCCACGGCCCTGACTTTGCCAAAGACTCGGCATGGACTGCCGTTACACATGTTATCACGCGAGACCACATCCCGACCATCAAAACCTCCTCGAGCACAAGGCCCTCCGGTCAAGCCTGTGCTACACTGCATTTTCCTACGAGGTCGTACGTAGATGCCCTTGGTCGGTCGAAACACAAGGCAACGCGCCAAGGGAATGGGGAGATGTATTTGATTTCCTGGTCCGAGAGCTGCGCGAAGACCTCTTAGACCACGGCAACGGCATGTTGTGCCTCGCAGCTCGCAGTGGATGCCTCGCGCTGGTCAAAAAGCCCTTTGTTGCGGCCGAGAGAGATGGTGATCTGCGAAGATCAATCCTAGCGGTGCATCGGAAATTGAGCTGCGGAAACCAGTTTTTGGGCACCCACCAATCTATTGGCGAGGCAGCCTGCGAGGGTCACGCCGACATTGTTCGCTCTCCGTGCCAGCAGACCAACATCGAGCCGCACCTACCATATGCAAGCCAAGATGGCAACACTATGTTCCACCTTGCCGCGAGGGGCGGTAACACTGAAGTTTTCCGAATCCTCATCCAGTGGTGGCCCGAAGTGGTTCATCTTAGGGACCATGCGCACGACACCTCTCTGGTCGATCTCATATACAGGAGTCCCGGGGGCGAGGCCGAGACGGTGAACCTCGTCAGGCTCCTCTTGAGTTAAGGCAAGGCTGATGCCACCGGCCGAAACGACGCCGGATACTCGCCGCTTTGCACCGCCATTCGAGGAGGCAGCGCAGCGCTATATAGGGTTCTCATTGTTGAGGGATTGGCAGACGTGACCTGCGCAGTTGGGATTGATCAAACGGATGGGAAGCTTTTTCTGACCAAGCACGTCAACACCATGAAGAGAGTCGAGGACCAAGCAAAGATGCTGAAGGAACTATGTAGTCTGCTGCCACTTGTCGTGTCAGTTCAGTACTTGTTCGAATAGATGGTTTATGTTTGGTGATGCGTTATACATGGATGCGTCATTTCTCATATGAGTGCACGCTTTCAGCCTCCACGAAAAGGGAAAATGAGTATCTTGCTATTTCCCATGCATTCTTTACTCCCATGTCGGACGATGCCATTTACCCGAGGCGTTTGGTCTACCGTGTACCTTCCTTGTGAAGCATGTATCCGTAGTAATCAAAGGAGCCAGGGTCGTCAAGGACCTGTATGTCTATATCCCATTCTATTCCTTCTACTTCGGCGTGGCGTCCGGTCATGAGGTCAACGACGGTGGGAGAGAAGTCGATGGAAAGCTGTCGTTTGTAGCCCCGAGACGCCAGTTCGACCGGAATGACCTGGAGCGATGGCTGGTTAGCAGCACGACAAGGCAAGCTAGGGAATAGACGACAAGGCAACGGACACTGTCTCCAGAACCAAGGTGCATAATGAGCGGGTTGTCGCTTGACTTTAGACCGTCGGCCTCGAAGAGGTTATCTGGAAAAACTGCTCCAAATCGCCAAAGGAGCGAAACCACTCGTGCGTCGGCGCCGTGCCATCGGATTTGGAATAGCGTTCATCCCAATACTCGGAATGGCGGAGGGCCTGGTCGCTTTCGGATGTCACAGGAATCGAAAGGAGGATTAGAATTTAAAGGCGGTCAAGTGAGATTGAGCTTTATTAGGCGGGGGCGGGCCGGAGCACATTACATAAGGTCTGGTCTGGTAGGTCAGGCTCCGAGTCCTGACCTGCCTCACGCTGCTGCACGCAGTCAGCGGCGACTTCCCCTTTGTGCCTGGTGAGGAGGAGGCGAGGCGAAGTCGGGCAAAAGTGAGGTGAGACGGGGTTCGATTCGATCAAATGCATACTGGCACAGACGCTCGGTGTCTTTCCGAACCAACGGCACAATTAGTCACGCCGGACCGCTCAACTTTTCCTGACCCAAGTTGAACCTTGCGCGCAAAGACGTCGCGGGAGGCCGTACATTCAATCACTCACCCGTTCCCGCATAGCCATCATGGATCTCTTCCGCTCTCCAGAGTTTGCCTCGCGCGTAGAGCAGCTCATCAAGAAGCACCACACTCCAGGGCTCGCCATCGCAATTGTGCACAATGACCAAGTTGCGTCGGCAGCCTACGGAAGTGCCTCGTTGGACCCGCCAAGGCCCATGACGACTGATACACTCTTCGATGTTGCGTCAGCTTCCAAGTCGCTCACGGCTGCCGCGGTGGCCTTGCTTGTGGACGATGATGAAAAGTATCCAGAGGTCAAGTACGACGCGCGCATGTCGGACCTTCTTCCCGGCGACTTTGCCATGCCCAGCAAGGACTACGATGAAGTGACTCTTGATGACGCATTGGGCCACAGAACTGGACTTTCATCGTAAGTGGATTTTTTTCTCTTTCTTTTTTTTTTTTTTAACCTTTCCAAAGAAGAAAAAGAGATGCCGTCACTCTGGGAACAAGACTAAAATGCTCCAAATAGCAACGACTACTCGTATTTCGGCATCAACGCGGACCAGCCCGATGACGCTTGTTCCGTAACCAGAAATATCCGCAACCTGCTCGTTGCAGCACCAATCCGTACAAAGTACATCTACTGTAATGCCATGTATACCGCAGTCACTCATCTCGTGGAGAAAAAGACCGGAACACCATTTGCCGACTTTCTGCGCCAAAAGTTCTTTGAACCTCTGGATATGACGTCGTCCTTTCTTCAGCCTAAAGAAGCCCGTGAAAAGGGCTTTGGGGACAGTCTAACCCCAGGGCATTATTGGGATGAAGACAGGGAAGAATACCTCACGTTTGACTATCCAGACTGCCCAGAGGGCCAGGGCGCTGGTTCCGTCGTCACCAGCGTAAACGACTACATCAAGTATGTCCAAGCCATGTTGAATAGAGACGGGCCCTTTACGGAAGACATCTACAGGGGTATCCTGAAACCAAGGACAATAGTAGGCCTGGACTTGGAGAAACCCTATCCATATTCATCGCCGAGAATCTACGCCTCGGGATGGCATCTGCACCACTGCAAGGACTACGATGAAGTGACTCTTGATGACGCATTGGGCCACAGAACTGGACTTTCATCGTAAGGGATTTTTTTCCCTTTCTTTTTTTTTTTTTTAACCTTTCCAAAGAAGAAAAAGAGATGCCGTCACTCTGGGAACAAGACTAAAATGCTCCAAATAGCAACGACTACTCGTATTTCGGCATCAACGCGGACCAGCCCGATGACGCTTGTTCCGTAACCAGAAATATCCGCAACCTGCTCGTTGCAGCACCAATCCGTACAAAGTACATCTACTGTAATGCCATGTATACCGCAGTCACTCATCTCGTGGAGAAAAAGACCGGAACACCATTTGCCGACTTTCTGCGCCAAAAGTTCTTTGAACCTCTGGATATGACGTCGTCCTTTCTTCAGCCTAAAGAAGCCCGTGAAAAGGGCTTTGGGGACAGTCTAACCCCAGGGCATTATTGGGATGAAGACAGGGAAGAATACCTCACGTTTGACTATCCAGACTGCCCAGAGGGCCAGGGCGCTGGTTCCGTCGTCACCAGCGTAAACGACTACATCAAGTATGTCCAAGCCATGTTGAATAGAGACGGGCCCTTTACGGAAGACATCTACAGGGGTATCCTGAAACCAAGGACAATAGTAGGCCTGGACTTGGAGAAACCCTATCCATATTCATCGCCGAGAATCTACGCCTCGGGATGGCATCTGCACCACTACCGAGGTTACAACATTGTCGCGCACGACGGGGGCATACCTGGTTGTAGCACCACACACATGTTTATGCCCGAGCTCAAACTTGGTTGTGTCGTGTTTGGAAACGCCGAAGGCGCCTGCACCATTTTCACGGCCTTGACGCACGAATTGATTGACGATGCGTTGAACCTGCCCAAGGACCAGAGATTGGATTGGGAAAAGGTAGAAATCAAGATGTTTCATGGTGATGATGATCATGATGAAGAGGGTGGTGTCGAGGGCAATAATGAAGACGAGGACGAGCCAGATTGGCAGGCTTTCTTCCCCGATATCAAGGAATGCCAGTCGCATGAGCGCCCGTTGGAGGCCTACACTGGCTACTACTGGCATGCCGGCTACCGCGGCATCAACGTACAAGTTCAGGATGACCAGCTCTTTATCGATGCCAATGACAGATCTTTTGCCTTCACACTAACTTTCAAACACGTATGTGAGCAGACAAAGTTTGTGGCCTACCTGTGCTGTCCGACTGAGGGTCTGAATGATCCAATTCGAGCTGAATTCCGGTTTGGTGACGATGGATCCGCAACCCATATAGGCGTTCAGTTGGACGAGGACTTGGATGACCTAATTTGGTTTCAGAAGACAAATAAAGGAAACGTCTAGAAGCCAGGTCTGGTAGTCTCAGCCTAGCTTTTGCAGGCACTAAATCTTGAGAGATGGCGGGCCTCGGTGATCTAAACCTACCCTATAATATTAGTATAGGGATTCAGATCATGCGTTCCTGTATCGCAAGTTGAAAAAGTCACAGAAATGTTTCTTATAGATCTTCTAAATCACACCATCTACATAAATGACTCGATTCAAATAACTCAACTTCGCATAAAACAAAAAGAAACATAACGTCTAGTCACCCTGCTCTTATCCACCACCATCCAGCGACAAGAAGAAATGTACAACACCACACAAATAGAAAACAACCCCAAACTTGCTATTAAACCATTCCCTTAACCTTACATGATTGTGAGCTGACGAATGTCCTGCTCTGGCTGGGAGATGATGGACGAAATCGCGGCACTGAATGATCTCGCCACATCCACACCTTGAGTTCGGGAAATGCGTTCCTCCCAAAACTCCAGCACAAGAGAAAGATCATCCTTTTCATATATTCCTCTAATGTAAATATCATACTGCAACTCTCAAAGTCAGCTGTGTACTTCCCAACAACGAGATAAGAACGGGGGAAAAGGCGAATCTGCCCAACGTACATGCACTGGATCAAACTCGTCCTGTAGATGGATGATTTGTCCTTCTGAATTTTTTGCTTCTGGGCCGTCTAGTGTGTCCCTGTGGATGGAAATAGCTGTGTTGAAAAGCTCAGATTCAAGACCATGCTTCTGTAAATTTACCAAATAAGAGGTTTGATGTGGCAACATGTGCAGATAATCCTCCTGGGAGGCTCTTAGTGTTTCCAAGACGGATTGTGTCTGGTCAAGCCGGACTCTGCACGGAATAAGACTCATCAACAGACCGAAAAGTTCATCCACGTCGTCAACGGGTAGGTCTCTTCCTGATGTGATGGTGCCAAAGCATGGCCTAGTTGACTTGGTGTACTTTTGGAGCACTAGTGCCCAAGCTATGCGGATGAGGTTGGCTTGAGTTATTTCCCACTCCGCACAGAACGCGGCGATTTCCTTAGGGTCGAGATTGGGTACCTCAATTTGAACTGTGCCCTGGGGCTCCGCAATGCTCTTGGAAGTCGGGAAAAGGCATGGCTCCACGTCTTGTAGATGCTTGGTCCAGAAGCCTTGTGCATCATATCGGGGCTTCTCGTGCACATACTTGATAAAGTTACTGTACAGAGGACCATCCGACGATAGATGACCTGTATAGGCAAGTTCGAAGTCGCGAAGTAGGATAGCTGTGGAGTGGCCGTCGATGATGGCATGATTCATCTCAAACCGGAGGTAGGCACGCTTGGACGTTGTCTGATAGACTGAGAGGTGATGTTGCAGGCCATCTTGAGCGTAGTATGGCAGTCGTTGAAGATCTCCGCGTCCCGTAGAGGCCATCTCTGCTTCACTAGTGGCATGGTAGGATATGCTTGGTGCAGGGTCTCGAAGGATGACATGAGTCGTTCGGCCATGTCCGGGTTCGTCACGGATGAGGACGGCTCGCAAGAGTCCGTGTCGTTTGACCACGTTTGCCCATGCTCGCTGGATTCTTGAGAATTCTACAGTTTCATCGATTTGTGAAGCCTCGATGGCTAGCCCAAATCCAGTCACATATGCTCTTGGATCTTGTTCTTGCGCTTGCAGTATACGTTCTTGCATAGGCGTGCAGGGATAAATATCCTCGATGTCCTCAACACGAAACGCACCGAGTCGTAAGCAATGCTCTTGTTGAAATTTGACCATCTCTTTTCGAGTAGAGAACTGCACCCGCGTCGAATCATCTGCAAGCTCATCGCATGTTGTCAGATGTGCTGCTGCGGATGCAATCTTGGCAATCGTCTTCTTCTGGAGGATGTCGGTAATGGATATCTTTGCGACGGAAGCTCGTGCTGCTGCCGAGACCTGCATTGCCGTGATGGAGTCACCGCCGAGGCGTAGGAAGCTATCATCCATGCCAATAGTCGCTACATCGACATTGAGAACCTGTGCCCAGATCTGTTGTAGCGCTCGCTCCATCTCTGTAGACGGGCCGCGTTTGTCGGCCAGGAGACCACTTCGCAGCTCGGCGAGTTGCTGAACAGAAAAGCCAGCGCCAATAGCACGCAAGCGGTGGCGGTCAGTCTTTCCGGAAGCTGTCATGGGCAACTGATCAAGTTCCAGGAAGGCTGCTGGCACCATGTAGGACGGAAGAACCTCGACGAGCAAGTCCTCGACAGAGGCGGGGATGCTGGCTATATGGATTGTAGGTAGCTTATTGTCGGTATCACCAACAATAGTCGGTACTGCGAGCATCTTTGTCTCCAAATGCGTATTTGGATCCATCACTACGAAGACTGCCAGCAAGGGCTTGGCTTCTTGGCCGCCGGGCACGATCACTTCGGCAGCCACCTGTTGCACGCCGGGCATGCAGACCTGGAGTTGATGTTCAACTTCGCCTAATTCCACTCTTTGACCACGAATCTTGACTTGTGTATCCTTACGGCCCACGAAGCTAAGGCTCCCATCGTCGTTATACCGCACGAGATCACCAGTTTTGTATAAACGCCCTCGGCGGCCGGGCAGATCACCTGTTCCGCGTTGTAGCCAGATTGGATCCTCAATAAAGGCTGCCGCTGTTCTCTCCGCATCATGTAGGTATCCTGGTCCCACAAGCGGTCCTTCAAGCAACAATTCTCCAACTGAACCTATCGGTACCAGTCGATCCGAGTTACTTGGGTCGGATAACCAAGTGACTACTCCAGCCCCGGCACCGATATTCATCACGCCAACACCATCATATTGGCATTGCATAGTACTGGTTGGCGTGCACTCAGAGGGTCCGTATGTGTTGATGACGAGGACGTTCTCCGGCCAACCCTTTGCGTCGTCTTGATTGACTGCTTCACCGCCCAGAATTAGGAATCTGAGATCAACCAACCGCTCGCGCTCAAGAGTGCGCGCGACAGAAGGCGTTAATTCGATCAGAGTAGCTTCAGTGCTAATTAGTGACTCGGTAAGGTTGTTCTTCCGATCGGCATCTGATGGCACACATAGGCAGCCTCCCGTCGTGAGAGTCATGAAAGCCGTCTCGATGGAGGCGTCAAATACGTATGACGCAAAGTCGTAAACGCGAGCCTGGCTATCGTAGCCGAGAGCATTCGCCTGATAGTGCATGGCAGAGGAGAACGAGGCATGTGTCACAACAACACCCTTTGGCTTTCCCGTACTTCCGGACGTAAAAACGACATACATCGGGGATGATGGATTGCTTTCAACTTGGAGAGGACAGTCCGTGTTGCCCGTAGTATCCGGATACGGGCTATCCACAGACAGTACTTTGACATCAATATCGGACCACCTGTGAGCTTCGGTGGAAGAGCAAACCAGCAGCTTCGCTCGTGTCTGATGAATGATGGAGTCGAGGCGAGACGTCGGTTGCGATGGATCGACAAGGACGAAGGCGGCGCCAACCTTGAGAACGGCTACCATAGCGACGACAGTCCATCGTGACTTTTCAAAATAAAGTGGAATAATAGCACCTGGGCCCATCCCTAAGCTCCTTAAGCGATGGCCGAATGAGGTAGAAGTATTATCCAATTCGCGGTATGTCCAGTTGCCGTCCCATGCGCATACAGCTTGTTTATCAGGCCACCTCTGAGCAGCGTTAGTGAAAAGGTTGTGAATTGCGACGTCAATGGTTTGTGGAACAACTGCGTTCCATTTCCAGACATCTTGCAAGTCATCTTGGGTCATAGCATCAATGTCGACCAGGCTGTTGTTCTGGTTCCCTATGCTCTGATCTTTGTTGCTAACAAGAGCGGTAACAAGTCGCTCCAACAAACAGGCGACACGACTTGCTTGCTGGTCGGACAAGCAACACAGGCGATACTCCAAGTTCAACCCAACTTGGCCTGCACCATATGTTATACTGAGAGCAATATCGTACTTCAAGTTGTTAGCTCAATGATCTGTAGCACATATGCGTAAAAGAAAGTCCACTCACTTCAGTTGGATCCTCTCCATCGAGTTCCGTAAATTCTAAATATTGATGACTAGTACGGTCTGCGGTGCTGTCGTCACGCTGGAAGGACACGAGGGTATTGAAAAGCGCCTGGCCGGGGAGTAGACTCAGTTGATGCTGTATGTCTGCCAGAGAGCAATGCTGAAAATCAAGGTCTGACAGAACCTGATTGTGCATGTTCCATACGAGATCATTCTTGGTCTGGTTCTGTGATAGGTCGATACGACAGACTAGCAGGTTTGCGTACGCACCAACTGCTTCTGAAATGCCAAGTACTGGAAGATCTCTTCCAGATGCGAGATATCCGAAGCAAACGTCATTACTTCCGGTATAATTTGCTAAAAGAAGGGCCCAGGCACTCTGGAATAGGCTGGCGGGTGTGACGAATTTCTCCTCGCTGAAATGTTGGATCTTGGCAAATGTCTCGCCGGTTATGTCGATGCTTACAGTCGAAACATTATTAACTTGTCGGGAGAGGTTAGATAGGTGAGGAAATTGGCAGGAATTGACGCCGCATAGCTTCTTCTTCCAGTAGTTCATTCGATTTTCTGGCAAGCGTGAACTGAGCACCCGCGCAAAGTTGTAGGTTATATCAACTGTCTCCTGGCTTAGGACGCCAGCATATGCCCGCGCCCAGTCCTCCAGGATTATCGTGGATGAGCTGCCATCGGTAATAGCGTGGCTCATTTCCAGCTGACAAATAACTTGACTGCCGCTTAGCCCATTGATGTTGGATAGCTCGAGCAGGGTGAGGCGGTGAGGAGGTTTAAGTTGCTGGTAGTTGACTGACGGAAGACCCGTCAGCATGCTCAGCGCAGAATTCTCGCTGTGGCTCTTTAGTAGGATAATATTTGCGGGACATGCTTCTAACACGACCTGATTAAAAGCTGTGTCGTCATCAAGACCTTCCATGAAAACGCTGCGGAGTGACGGATGTCGCGCAACTACTTTCTGCCACGCGTCTGCGAGGCGAGCAATGCTGACGTCACTGTCTGGCGACTGAATTCGGTATATCTGCGAGGTTTTGTACGAAGACGAGTCCTTGAGCTGGCTAAGGAGAATACCGTTTATCATGGGCGGGCATGGATATATGCCTGCGACTGTGGCGTTATTAGCTGCCATGATGTCTGGAATAATATGGGCTTGCAACTCGTCGAGACCTCTATAATCGAGGTTGAGAAACTCGTAGTCACAGAGGGTCGTCTCAGGCTTCCTGAAAGCGAGAGTAGTACAGATCTTCTGTAATGATATGCCGATCTGCGCGAACCAATCCCGAATGAGGCCTTGGTGAGAAATATGTCGGTTCCATGAGAATGAGAGGTGAGTTGATCCTCCCTCAATGGACACATTGATCTCAAAAAGAGCTGACATTGGTAGAGCCGGGCCAGCGTCCGAGATACCGTCAAGAATGATGTTATTGAAAAGAGAGTCATCGTTTTCTAGCTGCTGAAATTGGCCATGGTAATTGAAAACTAGCTCCATAGTAGAGCCATGCGACTTGAAGGCGTGAGCTCCCTTGCTACTCAGATATCTGGACGTGAAGTAAGCCCAGCCATTGGCGAGAAGGCGTCTTCGAGCATCTTTTACAAGTCGAACAATGTGCTCATGCGAGTTGTCTCTATTCCTTGATACAGTTATCGGAACCAGGGTGCTGAACCAACCAACTGTTCGAGATAAGTCAACCTCTGCATTCCAAGGCTCACGGCCATGACCCTCGTTGAAAATTGTTAGGCCTTGTCGAGGGAATATGTTCAGGAAAGCATCCGAGACTGCAGAGAGAAGAATATCGAGGGGCTCCGTATTAAAGGCATTGTTACTCTCCTTCAATAATAATCCTGTCACTTCTGGTCCAATTTCCAGGAAGTCCTCGTACTGATCACTGGCTGTGTTAGAGGTTGATGAATCGAAGTTCCAGAATTCGGGGTCGTTGTTAGCCTCTTGTACAGATAGCGAGCCCTGGGGGTCGTATTTAGAAGAGACAATCTCCTCTTTCTGCAACTGATTCCAAACTTGAAACGGAAGCCCTTCCTCTAACTGACCGTCACTTATGAGAGTCTCCAAATCTTCTAGGATGATACGCCATGATACAAGGTCGACAACGAGGTGGTGGGCGACAAAGAGAAGGTATTGCTCCCCTGAAGATAGCGTGCATAAATCTGCAGCAAAAACGACACCTCTCTCGATATCCAATCCATGCTGTCTTTGTGATGCAATCGACTTGACTTCTGAGAGAGATTCGAGATTCCAAGATTTAAAATGGTGCACATTTTCAGCAGTAGGCTTCAGCACAGATTGTGTCCAGTACTCGCCAATTTTCTGGAATCGGGCCCTAAGCATAGAGTGTTGCCGAACGATTGTTGAGATTGCGCTTGCAATTTTGTCTGCGAATACTACTTGTCTGAGTTGAAGGTAGAAGCTCTGATTGAAGTGGTAATCTTTAGTATTGACGAGTTGAGTTGGGCACTGATCGAAGAACCACTGCTGGATAGGCGAAAGACCAAAGGCCGTCTCGTATTCTTCTCGATGCGCAGTACAAGTTGCTGTGACAGTTGAAGTTCTTGCCACTTCCGCAAGAGATTTGCCCCTGAGTAGAGTTGCTACTGAGAAAACAACTCGAGAGGCGCGGCAGTGGGGGCTGAGACGCATTGCGGAGATGGAATCACCACCATTAGCAATAAAAGACTTATGAATATTGACCTGCTCAACTGGTAGGTTGAGGACGATACTGCAAGCATTTGCAATTACTTGCTCTGCGTGGGTCACTGGTGTGTGATCGACCTCCTCGTCCGTATCGTTCTCGTGACAGATCTTGGTGAAGGTTTTCAAGTCCATATCGCAGAGCCATTCGCGAAGAGCCTTATGGTTGAGCTTACCAGAGGGGTTAAGAGGAATGTCCCTGACGGCAACCCAAATGGATGGAATCATGTAAACAGGGAGAGCACCCTCCAGCATAGTATAAAGCTCCTTCTGAACATCTCGGAACAGTCGCGCTGCGTTTTCATCGTTGATAGCGAGATCGATTCCGGACGAGATGACGGCTTCTGGTTGGTATTCTTCAAGGCTAATAACGCCGACAAGTCGATTTGCACAAGGACCTGTGATAGGAAACAAACTTGCCGCCTGACGAACGGACGAATGACGTATCATATGATTGTCGATTTCTCCTAGTTCCACACGCTGCCCGTGAAGTTTAACTTGGGCATCCTTACGGCCAATATATACCAGGCTTCCATCGCTATTATATCGAACCAAGTCACCGGTTCTATACAGACGACCATGACGACCAGGTTGACTTGGAGTGCCACGAAGCAGCCACGGTGGATTGTCAATAAAGGCCGCAGCAGTCTTCTCAGGGTCATGAAGGTACCCCGGTCCCACGGATGGTCCTTCCAGGAGAAGCTCACCAACGCTGCCTACCGGTGTGAGGAATTGAGCAGTTTTTGTGTCAGCTACCCACGTAACGGTGCCAACCCCTTTGCCGATGCCAACTTCTAGCGTATTATCAGACTGAATGCTGGCGAAAGTAGCAGCTGGAGTTGCCTCACAAGGTCCGTAGGCGTTCCTCAGATCTACAATCTTGGCCCACCGTTCCGCATATGCTTGCGGAAGAGCTTCTCCGGCGAGGAGCAACGTGTCAAGCGATTGGACTGACTCGAGCGGAAGTATCGATGCCGTTGAGGGAGTCAATTGCACAAAATTAGCTCTATAGTGTCGGAGAGAGCCGGCTAGGTCGTCTCTTCGCTCAGCATCAGAAGGAACACACAGAGTGGCGCCGCATGTTAATGAATTCAACAGATTGGCCCAGGTGGCATCGAATGCGTAAGAAGCAAAGTCGTATACCCTTGATCCTTGTGTAAAGCCGTTAATACCTTGTTGATACTGGATGGCATTACTATAATTTGAGTGTGTGATAATTACACACTTTGGTGTTCCCGTACTACCAGACGTAAATACCACATAAAGCTTGTTCCAGGGCTGTACGTGCTGGAGTTGCGTCGAAGATGGAGCATTTGCATCAGTCAGAGTCGACAGACTGGCCTCAGTGATGACCATTACTGGAGTGTCTGCAAGCCGAAGTGCTAGATCTTCGTTACTTGATGAACACAGGATCAATGTCGGGTTAACCTGTAGCGCGATAATCCTCAGTCGGTCTTCAGGGAGAGTTGTATCCATAGCCACAGATGCACCGCCAGCTTTCATGACTGCAAGCATTGCTATACATGTATAGCCGGATTTCTCGAAGCATAGCGGTACAACGGCCTCTGGGCCAACACCCAAGCTCACAAGGTGGCGGGCAAGACGACTCGTGATGCTATCTAGCTCTGAATAGGTCCAAGTTCCATCCCAGGCACACACAGCTTCGGTATCTGGCAGTCTCTGGGCTGTATCTTCAAACAAATGATGGACCAATGCGTTTGAACACTCTGGCACTGTAGCGTTCCAGCCCCAAATGTCCTCCAAGTCCTCTCGACCAAGCGTCTCTATATCAGCAAGTGCCTTTTGGGCATTTTCGGGGTCACAAATCTGGCGGAGGGCATGTTCAAAGTGAGAGACATGCTTCTGAACTTGGTTTTTGCTGATTATTTTGGAGTCGAAGGCAATCCTCAACGCGAGCCCGTGGTCTTCAAGATCACAGCTGACTGTAAGGGCATGTGTATTTAGATCCGCAATAGGTCCATCACTTTCTTCGTCGCGGAGCTCAACAAATAGCTGGCTACGTGAATTGTAGTTCTTCTCAGACGGCTGTATTACCAGCAGCGTTTGGAAGTTGCAGGCTCGTTCAGCTTCAGTACTCATCCGGCGGATCCGTTGTAATCCAGTCTGCTCAAACGCCGTCATTTCAATTCCCTGAGCTTGTATTTGTATCAAGATTTCCTGCAAAGTTTTCTCTGGATCCAGCACGACTCGCATTGGCACTGTTGCAATTGTTGGTCCAGTTACGCGCTCAATGCCTGGTACAGATGCCTGCCGACCGCTCACAGTCAGACCGAAAATCACGTCATTGGAATCGGTATACCGCGCCGCCAAAATGGACCACGCCGCCCGAACTGCCGTGGAGGTGGTAATATCGCTAGTTGGCCATTGTACCCCCTGGATGTAATGCTCTACAGTTTGATCGGATCGGGGCTCGTGGGTTGACGATGGTAGTGCCGGATATGTTACGGCATCGAATTCTTTGAACTGTTTCTTCCAGTACTTCTCAGCCTGTTTGCTATCCGCGTGTAGTAGATGTCTAACGAACAACTGGAATGGGGGCTGATGCTGGAGATTTGCTTCGTCTATATATGACTTCTCTAGATTCTCCAGCAGAAGCGGAACTGTCCACCCATCGTATAGCGCATGATGCATCGTCCAAATAAAGAAATGCTTGTCTTGTTCCTTGATAATAGCGACTCGCACGAGTGGCGTGCCCAACCCGATTGTTAATTGCTCATCCGCGCGCTGATAGGCACTTGAGCTTGTGAAGTTCTCACCCAGCCAATGGATCTGCTGCTGAGCAACGACAACCTGTACCAAGCCCTGACTGGATAAATCCACGATTCGGGTACGTAACATTGGGGTTATTGATACCAACTGTTTCCAAGCTTCTCGGAAACGCTGTATATTGATAGTGCTTTTGAGCTCATATGTAGACCTGAAGACATAGTCCCCTGGTCGCTTTGTTGTTAGAGCAAGCAGACCTTCCTGAAGCGGAGTGCATGGGAAAACGTCCTCGATGTGCAACGGATCTACTCCGCAGAAAGCTGCGGCCTCTTGGCGTATCCCTTGAACTTCACAACCAGCCTTTAGTAGTGAGAATGGCTCGACATCCATTCTATCTGGCTCGAATACTTGGTGAGCTTTCACAGCCAAGTCGCCCAGCCGGGGCGTCTGGAAGACATCCGCAACGGTCAAGGCTATGCCTTGTTCGCGAGCCGCTGCAACAAGTTTCATGGCCCCAATCGAATCACCCCCGACCTGTAAGAAGCTGTCATCGATTCCAATTTTGTCGAGACTGACGCCAAGCACAGATGCCGATAGGCTTAGAAGGTGTCGTTCCATTTCCGTAGTCGGTTTTCGATGTTCACCACTTATCGACGAGCTGTGAACTAGAAGCTCTTCCAAAGTCATTCGTTCGCCTATGGCACGAATCTGTCGCCTGTCTGTCTTGCCCGTGGGCGTCATAGGGATGTGGTCAACAAGGACATAGGATGAAGGTATCATATAAGGAGGTATTAGTTTTGCAAGTCTTGTGTTCAATCCCGCAGTCAATCTCTGCAACTCTGATCCTTGGTCATTGCCATCTTTGCCCCGGGCTTCGGAAAGGCATATGAAAGCTATCAGCATGGCTTGGTGGTATTGTCGAGGCACCAGCATTTCTACTATTACTTGGGCATCTGCGGAATCTGTGATACTGGCAGCAACATGATGCTCAATATCTCCAAGCTCTAGCCGCTGGCCGTTGATCTTGACTTGGGCATCTTTCCGACCAACGAAAGATAGGGTGCCATCTGGATTATATCGAACTAGGTCGCCAGTTTTATAGAGACGGCCACGGCGGCCTTTCCTGCACAATGTGCCCTGTAGTAACCACTTGGGATCTTCGATAAACGCGTTTGCCGTGCTTTGGGGATTGCCCAGGTATCCTGCGCCCACGAGCGGACCTTCCAGGAGCAGTTCGCCAATACTACCTACTGGCACAAGTGAGGTACCTGTATGAGCATCGACAACCCATGTGTTGACCCCAACACCACGGCCAATTGTTGTCATATCATAGCTATTCGGCCTTATGGCTGCAATCGTAGTGGTGGGTGTGCATTCGCAAGGACCATAACCATTGCGGAGGTCTACGACAGAAGCCCACTGCTTTGCAGAATCTGATGTGAGGCGTTCTCCTCCAACCATTAACAATTCCAAAGATTGAATCGTCTCCAATGGGAGTATGCTTGCAGTTGAGGGAGTGATATCAATGAAATTAGCCCCTAGTCGCTTGATAGAACCAGCCAAATCATCTCTTCGATCAGTCTCAGAAGGAATGCATAAACATGCACCACATGATAGCGTCTGTAGCGCATTTGACCATATGTTATCGAAAGCGTGCGAGGAGAAGTCATAGACACGTGAAGTGGGTTTAAAGCCATGCAGACCTCGTACATGTCGGATGGAGCTGCTGAAATTGACATGCTTAATGATAACGCCCTTAGGCTGCCCCGTACTTCCAGATGTGAAGTTGATATATAAGGTATTTTCAGGCTGAACCCTTGACGGAAGTGGCTTGCTGGGTACGTCGAGCTCGGATAACTGTGCGGAACCTAGCACTACTATGGGCTGGTTGGTGAGCTGTGTTGCGAGGTCCTTAGTCGTAGAAGATGATAAGATTAGCGCTGGTTTGACCTGCTGCACAATGGTTTGAAGACGCTCTCTAGGGACGGTTACATCCATCGCCACAGATGCTCCGCCGGCTTTCATTACAGCTAGCATCGCGACTGGGACCCATCGACTTTTCTCAAGGCATAGAGGCACTATAACCTCAGGACCAACACCTAACTCAATGAGATGAAGGGCTAAGCGAGATGAAGCATCATCTAACTCGGCGTAAGTAAAATCACCGTCCCAAGCACACACAGAGGGGGCGTTGGGCTGCCTGGCGATGGTCTCGGCAATAAGGTCATGTACTAAGATATTGGCAGCTTCTGGCACTGTCTCGTTCCAACGCCAAATGGCATCTAAATCCTCCTCGCTGACTGAGCTGATATCTGCTAATGTAATGGATTTATGTCTTCCGCCAAGCGAGCCATTGAGCATGCCGTCGGTTGCGATGGCGATTGCTGTGGTCTTCACGAGGGAAATAACACGGCTAGCCTGCTCACTGGACAGACAGGAAGCGCGGGCATCAAGAGATAAGTATGCTGTTGTATCAGATATCGAAAAGCTGACCCCAATGTCGAACTGACAAAACATTAGCACCGCGAATCAAAACAAAAGCGATGAATGGATGAAGATACTCACCTCAGTGGGATCTTCGCCGTCCATATTCGTAAAGGTGAGCGTTGGCGCTTCTGCATCTTCTCCTACCGTTTCATCCTCCCTCTGAAATGATACAATTGTGTTGAATAGTGACTGCCCAGATGGCATACCGAGTTGGTGTTGGATATCGGCTAGAGAACTCTGTTGATAGCCAAGATCCTCCATGACTTGATCATGAATATGGTGTACGAATTGTTGACTAGTCCATTCGCGCGATATATTGGCTCGGCAGATCAACATGGACGCATATGCACCAACAGCACGCGTGATACCCGGCACTGGAAGATCTCTACCGGATGCGAGGTAGCCGAAGGTGACGCTCTCCTTTCCTGTGTAAGCTGCCAAACAGAGTGCCCAGGCACTTTGGAAGAGGCTTGCAGGCGTCACGGATTGTGACTCGCAAGATCGCATAATTTGGGTGAACTTGTCCCCAGTTATTTCAGCCGAAGCGAAGCAAACTCCTTGATCGGCCTGGGGAACTTGGTGAACATGATATAATGGCTCGAAATAACAACGCTCTGCATCTGCTAGCTTTCGTTTCCAATATGCCATCCTGTCCGTTGCTGACACGGATTTTATAAATCGTGCAAAACCACGATTGACGTCGTTGATGCTATCAAGGTCCAGGGTACCGGTATAAGCTTTGATCCAATCCTCAATAATTATTGCTGACGAGGCACCATCTGTAATGGTATGGCTAGCCTCTAACTGACAAAAAACGAGATTCTCTCCACGAACAAAACTCAGTGCTAAGCGATGTGGCGGCCTGATGTTTCGGTAGTTAATAGGCTGTAGGTTGTTGAGCATTGCTAATGCTGAAGTTCTGTTCTCACTCTCTAGTAGAATCACGTCTCCATGATAAGACTGCAAGACCACTTGATTGAAGGCTGCTGTTGAATCACTCCCTTGAATAAAAACCGTTCGCAGAGCAGGCTGACGAGCGATTACAGTTTGCCAAGCTTCAGCCAGTCTTTCAAGACTAATCAGATGGCCGATAGGGGACCGTATCTCATATGTGGCGGATGTCTCATAAGCCCCGGGCTCCTTGATTTGGCTCAGTAGCATGCCGTCCACCATAGGTAGGCATGGGAAAATGTCCTCTACCGTTGTGTTGTTGGCTGACTCAATTTCGGGAATCACATACCTACAAAGGTCGTCGAGTTGCTTGTAATTGAGGTGGAGAAACTCATAGTCGTAAAGGGTCTTGGAAGGTGCTCTAGAGCTGAGATCATCGCAAATAGCCTGCAGTGATAGGCTAACCTGAGAAATCCACAGGTCGATCAAGTCCTGGTGGGCTATATGACGATTCCAGGAAAAGAAGATCTGTGTAACTCCATCTTCGATTGTAGCATTTATCTCGATGAGCGATGATGCGGGCAAGGATGGCCCAACATCAGAGGTTTTGTCTAGGGTAATAGTGTCAAAAAGGGCATCGTCATGCTCTAGTTGCTGAAACTGGCCATGATAATTGAAGACAATTTCCATGGTAGTAGCCTCATGTGATTCAAATGCTCTGATTCCCTTGCTGTTTAGATACCTAGAGGCAAAGTAAGCCCAGCCGTTGGACGGCAGTCGCCTCCTCATATCCTTGACATGTCGCACAATGTTGACGATACTGTCGGCTGTATCACGAGAGATCCTCAGAGGGCTCATTGTAGTAAACCAACCGACAGTGCGCGAGAGATCTACGTCTAGGCTCCCTGGTTCACGGCCGTGGCCCTCATTAAATATAGTGAGGTCCCCACGACTAGGGAAGGCTTGTAAGAAAGAGTGCCATACTGCTGATAGAAGTAGGTCCACGGGTTCGGTATTGAAGGCTCCATTGGCGTCTTTTAAAAGGCATAAAGTGAGATCTCTGCCAATTACTATAGGCCTGTCCTTGAGGTCGTCAACTGTATTAGGGGTATCCGGGGTGAATTCCCAGAAAGTAAGGTTATTGGTGACTCCGTCGATATTAAGAACATTTTCAGGATCTAGCTCCGGCGTGCCGGCCTTCTCTATTTGCAACTGGTTCCATACTTGGAAGGGAACCTCTTCTTGCAACGCGCCACCAGTCAGTAGGACCTCTAGATCTTCTAGGATAATTCGCCACGACACAAGGTCAACAACCAAGTGATGCGCAATGAGGATAATATATTGATCTGATTTGGGAGCCGGGGTCATGCAGACATCTGCTGAAAAGACGGGGCCATTCTCGATATCCAGCTCTTGCTGCCTTTTTGCAGCCAGACACTCGATATCAGCCATCGAATCTTGTTGCGACGACTCAAAGTGATGCAGGCCCTGGCCAGGTTGAATGACACGCTGCATCCATTTACCATTAACCCTTGCAAAGCGTGCTCTGAGCATGGAATGCTTCTCCACGATTGTGCCAATTGCACTGCGGAGCTTATCTGTGGAAATTGGACGTGTAACTCTAACGTAAAAGCTTTGATTGCAATAAAGACTTTTCGTATTGACCAATTCAGGTGGTGATTGACCAAAGAACCACTGCTGGATCGGCGAGAGGTCGAAAAATACGTTGAATTTCTCTATTCGCGATACTACAGGACTGGTGACGGTTGTTGATAATTGTGCGACTTCAGCGAGCGACCGCCCCTTGAGCAAGGTTGCAACAGAGAAGAGAACGTTGGCAGCACGACAATGAGGACTAAGACGCATAGCTGATATAGAATCACCGCCGTTCGCCACGAATGACCGTTGCAAATCGATATTCTCTATCGGGGTGTTTAGAACTGTACTGCATGCTCTTAAAAGCACCTCTTCTGCCTCATTTTTGGGTTTTCTGGTCCCTGGATTACGCCCAATACCCGAGATTGCACTGAATGTCTCTGCATCAATGTTTGCAAGCCACTCCTCAAGTCGCTTGCGGTCGAGTTTGCCAGATGCGCTGAGAGGTATATCATGGACGACAACCCAGAAAATGGGAACCATGTAGGCAGGTAAAGTATTCTCCAAAAGAGCTCGGAGAGCCTCGATACGTTGCTGCGTCTGTTCGTCCTGGGAACTGATATCTAGTTTCGTAGGCGATATGCCCCGGCTTCTACGATCTGGTCCGACAATGCTAAGTACGCCAACGAGTCGGTTGATACATGGGCCGGATGTAGGAAGTATACACGCCGATTGTCGAATCCAGGGTTCGAGTGAAATGTGGCTCTCGATCTCGCCTAGTTCCACACGTTGGCCGTTGATTTTAACTTGAGCATCTTTACGTCCCATAAACGTGAGACTTCCGTCTGTGTTGTATCGTGCAAGGTCTCCCGTTTTGTAGAGACGTCCGCGACGACCAGGTTGACCTGGTCCGCCACCACCAAGTAGCCATAACGGGTCTTCGACAAAAGCTTCTGCAGTTTTCGCAGGGTCATCAAGATAACCCTTACCAACTAAAGGGCCTTCCAAAAGAAGTTCACCGATGGCTCCAACCGGGACAAGCGATTCGGCCGAGACGGTATCGGCTAACCACGTATTGACACCAATGCCTCTGCCGACACTGGATTCAATCATCGTTGTATCGGGGTTAACGCACGACACCGTAGACGTCGGCGTACACTCGCATGGACCGTACGAATTCTTTAAATGCACCAACTGCCCCCAAACTTTGGCTTGTTCTACAGAAAGCTTCTCGCCTCCAAGAATGAGGGTGTGCAGTGCCTTCAAGGTATCCAGCGGAAGGATACTAGCCGTGGATGGCGTTAACTCGGCATGAGTGACCCCGAGTCTTTGTATAGCTCCCACGAGGTCATCTTGTCGCTCAGTATCTGATGGGATACATAAACATGCTCCGCACTCTAGTGCGCATAACGCGTTTGACCAGGCCACGTCAAAGGCATACGATGCGAAGTCGAACACTCTTGAATGTTCGTCAAAGCCGTGTGCACCGTGCTGGTGCTTCAGAGCGCTGCTGAAATTTGAATGGGTGATTACAACGCCTTTAGGCGTGCCAGTTGTCCCAGAGGTAAATACGACATAGAGTGTGTCCCACGGCTGTACGACAGGGAGTATCCCTTGAACCGGCTGAGGGAGTTGAGCGAGTTGTTTGTCGTCTAGTATCACGATGGACTGATCTGGGGCGAGTTGCTCAGCTAATTTACGGTTCGCCGGAGACGAGATTGTCAGTAATGGTTTTATTTGTCGTATAATCGTTAGTAGGCGGTCTTCTGGAAGAGTCGGATCTAAAGCGACAGATGCTCCGCCAGCTTTCATCACTGCAAGCATTGCAACAGGAACCCATCGCGACTTTTCGAAGCATAAAGGTACGACACTACCTCGACCCACGCCGAGACTGACGAGATGACATGCAAGGCGACTCGAGGCGCCATTTAGCTCAGCGTATGTCCAGTCGCCGTCCCACGAGCATACCGCCGGGGATTCAGGCCTTGTAGATGCCGTGTCCTCGATTAATTTGTGGACTGTTGTCTCGATAGTTTCAGGCACGGTCGCATTCCAGCCCCAGATTTCCTCCAAGTCATGGTGACCAAGGGCTTTAAGGTCGGTAACCTTGATCTCGCTATCGCCAGAGGAATGGCATATCTGGCGAATTATATGGTCCAACTGTAGCATCAGTTTGTTTATCTGTTGCTCATCAATGACATGTGAGTCAAATCCGACTTGTAGCTGTAGGCCATCCCGTCGAAGCCTGCACTCAACAGTGATTGCATGGGTGTCAAACTCGGCAAACGAGTCCTCTGAGTCTTCACTTTCACCCCCATTTTCATTGACAAATAGATGATGAGCTTCTTCGTTGTCGTTTTCCTCGGCCGGTTGCATGAGCAAGAGTGTTTGGAATTCGCATGCCTGCTTTGCTTTGGCGCTTATTTGTCGGATTCTTTGCAGTCCCGTTTGTTCGAAAGCTGTCATGTCAATAGCCTGGGACTGTAGTCGTAGTAATAGTTGTTCGACGCTCTCATTCCAATCCAACGCTACTTGAACTGGCACCGTTGCGAGCGTTGGCCCGGTCATCTGGTCGACACCGGGTACAGCAGCTTGCCTTCCAGTCACTGTTACACCGAAAACAACATCAGTGGAATCAACATACAAGGCCGACAGGATCGACCAAGCAGCTCTCACTATCGTGGATGGAGTGATGCCGGCATCGGGCCATGCAAGATCTCGAATAGGGTGCAATGTCAGCGTGTCTGATCTTGGCTGATAAGTTGCCGAAGGCAGTGATGGAAAGATGCTGGCTGCTTCGGATCCATCAAACTGTGCTTTCCAATACTTTGAAGACGAATCACTGCTCATTTCCATGATGTGCTTAACGAAGAGTTGGAAAGGAGGTTCGTGTGAAAGGGGATGTTGTCCTCGATACGCCTTTTCTAGTTTCTCGAGAATTTGCGGCATTGACCATCCATCATAGAGTGCATGGTGTATCGTCCATACGAAGAAGCGCTTGTCAGGTTCATTTTGGTCCTCATGGACGAATCCGAGGCGCACCAGCGGAGTTCCCAGTCCCATGGGGAGCGTCTCATCTGCATTTTGGTATGCAGAAAGGCTGTTTGACTTTTTGCCAAAGGAGCTGCTCGTCTGTTTATCTATGATGACTTGGACGAGGCCTTGTTCTGTAAGTTCTGCAATTCGAGTTCGCAGTATCGGTGTTGTCCTGATGACCTCGTGCCATGCTGCCTCAAGTCGATCGATATTGACTGACGGGCGTAGTTCGAAGATGTATCGAGCAATGTAATCTCCTGCTCTTCTGGCGGTCAAGGCTAATAGACCTTCCTGGAGCGGAGTACATGGGAAGATGTCCTCAATTTGTGTAGCATCTATGTCGCAAAGAGATGCAATCTCGTCTCGTGCGGCTTGGACATTGATACTGGCTTTAAGTAGTGAATAGGGTGGAATAGTTTCGGTCGATGCTGACGAAAGCTTGCGGGCCACTGCAGCTAGGTCACTTAGTCGAGGATTCTTGAAAACATCCGCAACAGTGATCGATAGTCCCTGTTTACGTGCCTCTCCGACAAGCCTCATTGCGCCGATTGAGTCGCCACCAATACGTAGGAAGCTATCGTCAGGTCCAATCTTGTCGGCACTAATTCTTAGTAGAGATGACCAAATACCCTGAAGTTGTCGTTCTGTATCCGAACTCAGTGCCCGCCGCACGCCGCCTGGCATGTTTAACGCCATGAGCTCTTCTAGAGTCATGCCTGATGCTATTGTGCGGAGTTGACGGCGATTCAGCTTTCCTGTCGCAGTCTTAGGCAGATCTTTGACGGGGATATAAGCATAGGGAATCATGTACGCTGGGACACGCCTGGAAAGCCTGTCCTCCAGCCCTGCAGTCACTCTCCTCATTTCCGCCTGCAGCCCATTTGCTTCTATAGCAAGGCAATCTTTGATGTGCAGGAATGCTACCAGTATGGACTTGCTGCTTCCTCTGGGTGTGATCACGTCGGCTACTGCCTCGACTTCAACGCTGTCGGCGACATTCGCCTGCACATGATATTCGACGTCGCCCAGCTCCACGCGTTGACCGTTGATCTTGACTTGGGAGTCCTTGCGAGCGACAAAGGTGAGACTTCCGTCCGTATTATATCGCACCAAGTCTCCTGATTTATATAACCGCCCGTGACGGCCTGGATGTCCAGGAGCACCGCGGACAAGCCACTTGGGATCATCGATATATGCGGCTGCCGTCTTTTTGGCATCTCCCAGATAGCCATCGCCAACTAACGGACCTTCTAATAGAAGTTCTCCCACATTTCCGATGGCAACCAGTTGGTCATGATCCGAGACGTTAACCAGCCATGTGTTTAAACCGATGCCACTTCCAATACTAGGAGTGGCACCCGTGTTTTCATCCATCGGGACAAATGTCGCCCTGATACTACACTCAGCAGGTCCGTATGTATTGAGAGTCTCGCAATGTTTTGCCCACTCTGAGGCCATGTGACCGGACAAGAACTCTCCTCCAAATTGCAAATGCTCTAAACTTCCCAACTCCGACGGCTGTAGTGTACTGGCAACTGACGGATTGACGTCGAGGAAATTGGCATTGTAACGTCGGAATGAGCCTGCAAGGTCATTGAGGGCCTCTGAGTCAGAGGGTATGCAAAGACAGCCACCTGCAGTGAGAGTATGCAGGACGTTTGACCATGAGATATCAAATGCATACTTCACGAAATCATATACCCTAGAAGAGCTCTTGAAACCCATTCCAAATTGCTGGTGACGGATAGCACTGCTAAAGTTGGCATGTGTTATTATTGCGCCCTTGGGAGTTCCCGTACTACCAGACGTAAATACCACGTAAAGTTTGTGCCAAGGTTGGACGTCTGTACGCGGCATAGGTCGCCGGCTCAGCTTTGCCATGTGTTCATTATCGACGACGACCACCGGCCGCTCTGTTAGTTGGCTAGCTACCTCAATAGCAAGCGAAGATGACAGTATCACTACAGGATTGACCTGCTGTACAATGGTACGGAGACGTTCAACGGGCTGTGCTGCGTCCATTGCAAGCGACGCACCTCCAGCCTTCATAACAGCTAACTGTGCCACTGGAGTCCACCGGGACTTCTCAAAGCAAAGAGGCACAATTACATCAGGCTTAACACCCTTATCAATAAGATAGTCAGCTAGTCGGGTAGAAACTTCGTCGAGTTCTGCGTAGGTCCAGTCACCATCCCAGGCACACACGGCTGGGGCGTCGGGTTGGCGCTGTGCTGTTTCGGTGAAGATACCGTGCACCAGGACATTTACTGTCTCCGGGACGGTACTGTTCCAGTCCCAAATATCAAGTAAGTCCCGTTGATCGATAGAGTCCATATCGGCCAATGACCGCGACTCTTGCACGCTGCCCTGTGACTCTGCCGAAATCGAGGAGCTGTGACTTGCAATTAGTGTAGTAACAAAATTCTTCATTAGTGAAGCCACTCGAAGTGCTTGCTGCTCAGTTAAACAAGATAGACGGTAGTCGAGACAAAAGCCTGCTTGCTTGATGCCGTAGGATACACTGAGAGAAATGTCATACTGTTCAACAATGTCAGCGCGGTGACTGTTACAACCGGAGGTCTTTGCTCGAGTTCCCTACCTCGGTTGGGTCTTCCCCATCAATTTCTGCTATTTCTATATTCTGCTTTTCTTGATCTTCTCCGGCCTCTTCGTAATCTCTTTGGAAAGACATGACGGTATTGAATAACGCTTGTCCAGAGGGGAGATCAAGATGATGTTGAATGTCGGCTAGAGCGCAATGTTGAAAGCCAAGGTCCTGTAAAACCTGCTGATGGATGCTTTTCAGAAAATACTCCTGAGTCGAGTCCCGCGAAATGTCGGCACGACACACAAGTAGATTAGCGAATGCACCTATAGACTTCTCTATGCCTGGGAATAAGTCTCGACCAGAAGCAAGATACCCGAAACATACAGAGTCTTTGCCCGTGTAAGCTGCCAAGGTAAGAGCCCAGGCAGTCTGAAATAAGCTTGCGGGGGTAACGGACTGTGCCTCGCAGAAGGCCTGGAGTTGAGCAAAAGATTCTCCAATTACGTCGACATGGACCATGGCCGTTGCATTACCGGGCCGCGAAACGGCTAAAAGCTGGGGGAAAAAGCATGGCTCGAGACCCAGCAACTTGTTCTTCCAGTAATGCATCTTTTCTTTGACCGGAGTTTCTTTCAGTGCACGCGCGAAATCTAGGCTGGTGTCCGATAGACACTTCGTATCCAGAGTACCCAGATATGCACTAGTCCAATCTTCCACTATTATCGCAGTTGAGGCGCCATCCGTGATAGCGTGACTCATTTCTAGTAGACCGATAACGTGGGATTCATCTGCAACCTTGCAAAGCGTGAGGCGATGAGGAGGTTTTGGCTGGCGATGATAAACTGCTGGTGCCGCCTCCCTAAGCAACCTTATCGCCGACGATTTCTCTGCGCTGTGGACCAATATGACCTCTCCGCGAAATGATTCCAAGACAACTTGATCGTATGCTGCATTCTCGTCCACTCCTTCAATGAAGACACTACGAAGATAGGGGTGACGTGCGATGACGGCTTGCCAAGATTCGGCTAGATGTTCCAGCTCTATCGAGGCACCGTTGTGACACTTGATCTCGAACATACTAGAGGTTTGGTATGCCGCCGAATCGCGAAGCTGACTGAGAAGAATACCATCTACCATGGGTGAGCATGGGTAAACGCCGCTTATTACAGCGTTATTTATGGTCTCGATGTTCGGAAGGATGCGGGTTTCAAGCTCTTCGAGTCCGTCATAACCTAGGCTAAGTAACTCATAGTCGCAGAGAGTTCTTGTCGATTTTTTGGCGGCAGCAAGATGACTACAAATAGTTTGTAGAGATACACCAACCTGCGTGATCCACTTGCGAATGAGATCCTGATATAAAATGTGGCGGTTCCAAGAGAACGTGAAGTGAGTGCACCCCCCTTCAAGGGTTGCATTAATCTCGAAGAGGGACGACACGGGAAGTGCTGGTCCTATGTCAGACACATCCTTTAAGCTGGCAATCTCGAAAAGAGCGTTTTCTTGCTCTAATTGCTGAAATTGACCGTGATAGTTGAAGATGACTTCCATAGTGGAATCGTGGGATTTGAAAGCATCCATTCCCTCGGGGTTTAAGTATCGCGAGGCAAAATAGGCCCAGCCGTTTGCAGGAAGACGTCTTCTAGAGTCTTTAACCAGTCTAACGATGTTTGCCGAGAGCTTATTCCTAGAAACATGAATCGGGCCCATCGTGGTGAACCAGCCCACAGTTCGAGACAGGTCAATCTCCGCACTCCAAGGCTCACGGCCATGACACTCGTTGAATATTGTCAGTCCATTCCGTTCCGGAAAGACTTGGAAAAAGGCATCCCAAACAGCTGAGAGAAGGAGCTCAACTGGCTCTGTGTTAAAAGCATTATTGGCATCTTTGAGTAAAAGGGCTGTTGTATCGTGATCCACCTCGATATTTGCTCCAAAGTGATCCCGGGTTGCATTCGGTGTGGTGTCGCTGAAGTTCCAAAAAGAGAGGTTATTATGGACGCCTTCCGTGGAAAGCACATGCTCCGGATTCAGCGCAGATGTTTGAGCCCTCTCAGTCTGGAGCTGGCTCCAGACTTGGAACGGTAAGCCGGCTTGAGGGGAACCGCCGCCATTGAGAAGCATCTCCAAGTCATCTAGAATGATGCGCCAAGACACCAGATCAACGACTAAATGATGCATGATCATAATAAGATATTGGCCACCAGAAGAAAGGTCGCATAAATCTGCGGAAAAGACGGGACCATGTTGGACATCCAGTTCTCGCTGCCTGCGTATGGTCATACTCTCAATATCCGATATTGACTGGAGCTGTGAGAATCCGAAATGGTAAACACCATCGATAGGCTCCAGCACCCGCTGCACCCAACAGCCGTTTCCTGTCTTTTCAAATCGCGCTCTGAGCATAGAATGGCATTGAACAATCTTCAGGATTGCCGCCGAGAGTTTGTCGGACGAAACTGGACGCGTGATTTTGACGTAGAAACTTTGGTTACAGTAAAAGTCATTATTATTGATATTGTCAGAAACCTGGGAGAAGAACCACTGTTGGATGGGCGCAAGACCAAAGGCTGTGTTGACTTGTTCTATCTGGGATGGCATCGAGGCGGCTGTACCTGTTGACAGTCGCGCAACCTCGGCCAGCGTCTTGGCCCTGAGCAATGTTGCAACCGAGAAGTTAACATCAGAAGCACGGCACTGAGGGCTTAATCTCATGGCGGAAATGGAATCACCACCATTGGCAATGAATGATCGCTCGAGGTTGACGTCCTTTGTCGGTATATTCAGAACGACGCTGCAGGCATCGCGGATCACGCGTTCTGCGTTATTTGCCGCATCTCGAGCCGCAGGGCCACGGGAAGTATCGCTGATGTCTGCGTATATTTGGGGGCTCAAAGCAGCAAGCCACTCTTCGACAAGCTTGCGATTCAGCTTCCCGGATGGATTCAGTGGGATATGATTGACTGCGATCCAAACCGAAGGGACCATGTAAGCCGGAACCGCGGCGTCCAAATGAGCTCGCAAGTTTTTGATAAAGTCTTGGACTGGCAATTTGGAGTTGCGCGGTATGAGCTCAATAGGTGAAGAAGTAGAATCGCCACGCTCATACTCGTTCAAACTGAATATACCGACGAGCCGACCTTCGCACAATCCCACCTTTGGGAGCAGCGATACAGCTTGGCGAACAGATGGATCGCCGGCGATGTGGTTTTCGATCTCGCCCAGCTCCACCCTTTGACCGTTGATCTTGACTTGGGAGTCCTTGCGACCGATGAAGATTAAGTTTCCGTCCTGGCCGTACCGTACTAAATCGCCCGTCTTGTATAGACGGCCGCGGCGCCCGCCATGGCCTGGCTGGCCCGATATGCCACGAAGCAGCCATGCCGGGTCGTTGATGAAGGCTGCTGCTGTTTTCTCTGCATCGTCGAGATATCCGGGGCCAACCGAGGGTCCCTCGAGAAGCAGCTCGCCAATGGCGCCCACCGGCACAAGAGACCCCCCCGTGGCCGTATCAGCCACCCATGTCACCACCCCAACGCCCCTTCCTATGGTTGCGCCACTCTCAACATTGGCATCCATGTTTGCGACCGTCGATGTTGGCGTGCACTCGCACGGTCCGTACGAATTCCTCAAGTGCTTCACTTGTGATGCCCAGCCCCTGGCGTCCTCTGTCGAGAGTCGCTCGCCCCCGAGGATCAACGTATCCAACGACTCCAGAACCTCTCTTGGAAGCAGCTTGGCAGCGGAAGGCGTCATCTCAACGTGCGTAGTCTGGAACCGACGGAGGGATCCTGCCAGGTCGCCTTGGCGCTCGTCGTCTGATGGGATACAGAGGCACGCGCCGCACTCAAAGGCGCCGAGCATATTCGCCCAAGCTACGTCGAACGCGTATGACGCGAAATCATAAACGCGTGAGCCGGCTTGGAAGCCATGGGCACCATGTTGGTTTCGTATGGCGCTGCTGAGGTTAGAGTGCGTAACGACCACACCCTTTGGTATTCCTGTGCTGCCCGATGTGAACACGACGTAAAGCCTATTCCAAGGCTTCACTTCAGGGAGCTGTATCACGGATGACGAGCCACTCCGTAATTGCGACAAGAATTTGCTGTTTACCGCGAGCGTCGGCTGGTCAGTCAGCCGACCGGCCAACTGCTGGTTGGACGACGACGATAACATCAAGTTCGGCTTAACTTGCTGCGTGATTGTACGAAGACGCTCCTCAGGTAAAGTAGAATCCAGTAGGACGGATGCGCCACCCGCCTTCATTACCGCTAATGCTGTCACGGGCGTCCATTTGGACTTCTCAAAACAAAGCGGCACAATTGAGTCCGGTTTAACGCCCATACTAACCAGATGACAGGCAAGCTGAGTTGCCAATCTGTCAAGCTCAGCATAAGTCCAGTCACCATCCCATGCAGTAACCGCGAGAGACTCGGGTTGTCTTCGTACGGTTTCTGTAACGAGATCGTGTATCGGTGTCTCAATAGTCGCGGGAAAATTGCTGTTCCAGCCCCAAATATCCTGGAGATCCCGGTGACTGATGGTTTCAATTTCAGCTACCCTTTTGTTGATGTTGGCTGAGTCACATAGTTGACGGAGGACCTGATCAAGATGGTTGGCAAGTCTCTCCAGCTGCCTAGTGGAAATGACCTTCGAATCATAGCCAAATCGCAAGCTTACTCCATGGGCTTCCAGGTCGCAGTCAAGAGTCAGGGCATGCGTGTCGAACTCGGCAAGTGTGTCACTGTCTTCACCACTGTCGCCCCCGATCGCGAGGAATAATCTGCTATGCGGGACGTGACCCTGTTCCTTACCTTGTATCACAAGCAGCGTCTGAAACTGGCATGCGGCGTTAGTTTTCTGACCTACCTGACGGATTCGCTGCAGTCCACTCTGCTCAAATTCCGTCAATTCTACAGTCTGCGATTGTGCCTGGAGCAGGAACTGCTCCAAGGTCTTTTCCCTGTCAATTGCCATTCGTAAAGGCACGGTCGCGATTGTTGGTCCGATTATTCGGTCAATACCCGGTATGTTCACTTGCCTCCCTGTTGTAGTCATTCCGAATAACGCGTCGTCTGTGTTAGTGTAAGAAGCAGCAACAATACCCCAGGCCGCTCTTAGCACCGTTGAAGCAGTTGCGTTGACCTTGGGCCATTCAATCCCCTCAACATGATGCACGGATACAGCATCGGTCCTTGGTTGGTAATTTGGGGACGGAAGTGCAGGGAATATGGGTGCCTCTAATTCCTCGAATTGGCAACGCCAGAATTGGGCTGCTTGCGTGTCATCTACGTCCATAATGTGCTTCACGAACCGCTGAAACGGAGGAGATGGGGCTAATATTGGCTGTTCATCTTCCTCATAGGCCTTCTCCAGCTTTTCAAGAATAAGTGGCATCGACCACCCGTCATATAACGCATGGTGAATTGTCCATACAAAAAAGCGTCGATTTTCATCATGGTCTTCGACAACAGCGAACCGTGCGAGCGGCATACCCAGGCCAATAGGCAGCTGCTTATCTGCACGCCGATATGCGTCGAGATTTGGCATCCCGACCGTAGACGACCATTGAGTCGGCTGGTCGATGATGACCTGCAGCAGTCCCTGTCCAGCTAAATCAATAATGCGTGTTCGCAATATAGGTGTGGTTTTCACGACTTTCTCCCATGCGGCCTGGAAACGAGAGACATCGACAGAGGGACGAAACTCAAAAACATTCCTGGCGAGGTAATCACCTGCTCGCTTCGATGTGAGAGCCAGCAGACCCTCCTGCAGAGGTGTGCAAGGGAATGCATCTTCAATCTGTGTGGCATCAACCTTGCAACCAACCGCCATCTCCCTGCAAGCTGTTCCGATATCGATGCCACTTTTCAGCAAAGAGAATGGTTGAATAGCCTGATTCGAATTCGATTCAGGAGATGTTTTAACAACGACAGCCAGTTCGCTTAATTGCGGTTGGTTGAATATGTCCGCGACGGTGAAGAAGAAACCCTGATCCCGCGCCAAAGCCGCCAACCTCATAGCCGCGATTGAATCACCGCCAAGGCGCAAGAAGCTATCATTTGCTGCGATTTTGTCCGGACTTATAGCAAGCACATGTGACCAGAGAGCTTGAAGACTTCGCTCCATCTCAGTTGCGGGCAATCGCCGCTCACCACTCGACGCATTCAGGATCATCAGCTCCTCTAGGGTCATTGCTTCACCGATTGCTCGGAGTCGTTGCCGATCCAACTTTCCGGTTGCCGTCATGGGGAATCTTTCCATCGGCACATACGCAGATGGTATCATATATGACGGGATATGCGCGGCAAGTGTGTCGTCGAGCCCAGTGATGATCGCCTTCGTCTTCAACCGGAGGGCCTCGACGCTGGCAGCAGTCAAGTCAGTGATGAAGGCTATGAGTGTTGACTTGATGCCATCTCGAGGCACAAGGACCTCGGCCGCAACCCGGACATGTAAGTCGTCTTTGGTGATTTGCTCCAGTATGTGGTGCTCTACCTCGGCCAACTCTAGCCGCTGGCCATTGATCTTGACCTGAGAGTCTTTACGGCCGATGAAGACGAGGCTTCCATCTGAATTATACCGCACCAAATCTCCCGTTTTGTACAAACGCCCGCGGCGGCCAGTATGATGGCCTGCAGCACCTCGAAGCAGCCACGAGGGGTTATCTATAAATGCGGCCGCAGTCTTCTCCGGGTCGTCGAGATATCCTGCACCAACGAGGGGGCCTTCTAGAACAAGCTCTCCAACGGCGCCGACAGGCATGAGCAAATCAACGCTTTCCGGGTCGGTGACCCAAGTGACCAACCCAACACCCTTTCCAATCGTCAATCTATCAACACAGTCAGGAGTGATGGTAGCCACGCTTGCCGTCGGGGTGCATTCACACGGGCCGTACGGCGACTTCAAATCTACCATATCTGACCATCGCCTAGCGTACTCTGTGGACATTCTTTCGCCGCCTAGAATCAGCGTTTTTAACGATCGAATAACGTCGTCCTGAAGAACAGCCGCGGCCGACGGGGTCAAATCTACAATACTGGGCCGTAGCCGCTGAATAGAGCCTACCAGGTCGTTTTTTCGCTCGTTTTCAGACGGGATGCATAAACATCCACCACACGTGAAAATGTTAATAAAGTTTGACCAAGTCGTGTCAAAGGCGTATGATGTGAAATCGTATACCCTGGAGTCTGGCTGATAACCTTGGGCATGTCTTTGATGCCAGGCGGCACTACTAATGTTTGCGTGTGTCATAACAGCACCCTTTGGAGTTCCAGTACTTCCAGATGAGAAAATCAAGTATGCCTTGTTGCTGGCTTGCACGACTGGCAGATGGGCAGCATCATCAGGCACATCCATCTTGGCCAGATGTTCATCATCAACCACCACGGTCGGCCGATCCGAGCCTATGAGCTGGCTAGCAGCCTCTCGGTTGGTCGGTGATGATAAAATCAGCGGTGCCTTGATTTGCCGTACAATACTTCGCCTGCGCTGCTCGGGTTGGCTCGTGTCTAGCAGCACCGACGCTCCTCCCGCCTTCATAACTGCGAGCATTACGACTGGCGTCCACCGCGACTTCTCGAACCAAACCGGGACGATTACGTCTGGACAGACACCTCTCCTGACCAAGTAATGCGCAAGCCTGGTTGAAAGACTGTCTAGCTCGCTGTACGTCCAGTCACCGTCCCACGCACAAACAGCCGCGGCATCGGGCTGCCGTCGCGTCGTCTCTGCAATCATGTCATGGACAGGCGTCTCCACGGTTTCTGGTACCGTAGCATTCCAAGTCCAGATACACTGCAGGTCATGTTTGCTGAGTAACTCAATCTCCCCAAGACTCTTGTCAAGATTGGTCGGGTTACACATTTGCCGAATAATGTGGTCCATTTGTATCGCCAGCCCGCCAACCTGATCGGATTGCAATATGCTCGAATCAAATCCAATCCGGAACCTTAGACCTTGCTCCTGGAGATCACATTCAATAGTAAGGGCATAAGGATCAACGTCGGCAAGTCCCTGGTCTCCGTGTTGGTCGTTATAGCTTCGTTTTACAAAGAGCTCGCTTTCATCTTCAACGCCTTTATCGTCGGGTTGAACCACCAGGAGGGTTTGGAATCCACAAGCGGCTTCGGCGTTTGTGCTCGCTGTACGGATACTCTGTAGGCCCGTCTGCTCATACGCCGTCATCTCCACGGCTTGTGCCTGATACTGATGGAGAAGTCGCTTAATACTCTGGGTCTTGTCCAAAACCACTCGAACTGGGACCGTAGCAATCGTAGGTCCCACCATTCTCTCGATACCAGCCACCGCCGCCTGCCGTCCCGCTACCGTGACTCCGAATACAACGTCGTGTGAGTTGGTGAACTGGGAGGCCAATACAGCTAGTGCAACTCTCACGACTATCGAAGGTGTTACATCAATCTTGGGCCACTCCAAGCCCTTGACGATATGTGTAGTGGTTGCGTCCGACCGAGGTTGGTATTTTGGTGAGGGAAGCATGGGGAACACTGTCGCTCCCGAGTCTTCAAACAGCGTTTCCCAGTACTTCTTTGCGTCTCCGTTATCATGGGCTCCGCTAAGATGCTTAACAAAGGCTTGAAATGGAGGCTGCTGTGACAGTGTCTCTCTCCTGTACGCTTTATCAAGAGCCTCAAACATGAGCGACAGAGACCATCCATCATATAAGGCATGATGGATCGTCAGCGAGAAGAATTTTTCGTCTTCGTCGTCCTGTCGCTTGACCATAGCAAACTGCACTAAAGGCGTGCCTAAGCCAACCATGGGTATCTTGCTTGTACCCGTGTCTTCCTCGACGTTGGCGAGCTTATCCGTCGGCGACCAACGCATCGACTCATCGATGACTACTTGCACCAGCCCTTGGCCAGCTACGTCTGCAATGCGTGTGCGCAAAATCGGAGTCACCCTCACTACCTCGGCCAGCGCTTCCCGAAAGCGCGGAATGTTGATCCATGGCTGTAACTCAAGCAGATATCGGGCAACATAGCTGCTTCCGCCCTTTGCTGTCAATGCTAGCAAGCCTTCCTGAAGAGGCGTACATGGGAAAATATCTGTAATCGCGGCTGTGCTCACTTTACACAACCTCGCAGCCTCAGTTCGAGCTGCCTGGATATCCACAGAAGCTCGCAGTAATGAATACGGTTTAATAACCTGCTGCTTGTCTGCTCCAGGTAATTTGCCAATCACCATTGCTTGATCACTCAGTCGGGGATACTTCAACACGTGAGCAGCGGCAAGGGAATATCCTTGCTCACGCAAAGCCCCTACCAGCGTCATTGCGCCAATGGAGTTGCCGCCAAGTTTCAAGAAGCTGTCGTCGGCCCTGATAAGTTCAGCATCGATTCCAACGATAGAAGACCAGAGTCCTTGGAGTAATTTTTCCAATGGGGAATCAGGAAGTGGGCGCTGACTTTCCCCATTCCCATTCAAGAGCATTAAATCCCCCAAAGACAGGTCCCGACCCATTTGCCGCAACCTTCGCCGGTCGACCTTTCCTGTCGCTGTGACGGGAAGGCACTCCAGAGGAATATATGCAGAGGGTATCATATAAGCTGGTATTTGCTGCGCGAGCTTCTCGTCTAAGCCGTCGGTGATTTTCTTCACCTCTGTTTGACGTACTCCTTGTGCGTCCACGACAGCCAAGGTTGGGATCTGCAAGAACACTACCAGCAGTGTCTTGTTGCTCTCCCGAGTGGTGATGATCTCGGCAACGATCTGTATATTGGTGCCGTGCGTAATATTGGTCCGTACACGGTGCTCAACATCGCCCAGCTCGACGCGCTGACCGTTGATTTTAACTTGATTATCTTTTCGAGCAACGAAGGTGAGGGTGCCATCTGTGTTTTGTCGTACTAGATCGCCTGTCTTGTATAGCCTACCGCACCGACCCGGCTGTCCAAGTGCTCCGCGCAGTAGCCAGGTAGGATTTTCAACGAAAGCCGCCGCTGTTTTCTCGGCATCACCAAGATAGCCGCCGCCAACAAGAGGCCCTTCAAGAAGCAACTCGCCGACACCACCAATCGGGACAAGCTCGTCCTGGTCTTCTGCGTCGACTACCCAGGTAACAACACCCATGCCTTTTCCAATGCTGGCAACGACACTATCGGAGTTGACTGTCGCCATGGTGGACGTCGGCGTGCATTCACATGGGCCATAGGGGTTCAAGACTTCTGTCATGGTGGCCCATCTCTTGGCCATTTGCAGAGGAAGGCTTTCGCCGCCCAGCACCAAGGTTTTCAAGGACCTAATGCTCTGTTCCGGGAGAATACCTGCCGTTGTTGGAGTCAAATCAGCATAGGTGATTTTAAACCTCTGGATACACCCAGCCAAATCATCTCTTCGTTCTGCCTCAGATGGCACACAGAGGCATGAGCCACAGGTGAATGAGTGCAGAGCATTCGACCAAGAGACATCAAAAGCATAGGATGCAAAATCTAAGACCCGGGAATTCTCGCGAAAGCCGTGAACACTCTGCTGATATCTAATTGCGCTACTAAAATTCGAATGCGTGACAATGACGCCCTTTGGGGTGCCTGTACTGCCTGATGTGAAAACCACATACAATGTGTCCGAAGGTTGGACCCTTGGGAGTTTTGCGTGTGCCTGGAAATCTGTCACATGTTCAACATAGACATCGTCAATGACTATCGTAGGCTTTCTTATAAGCCGCCTTGCCGAGTCATGCATGGCTGCCGACGAAAGCGCCAATACTGGGTTTACCTGTGCAATGATAGCTTGCAGGCGCTCCTCTGGTAGGTTCACGTCCAGCAAAAGAGATGCTCCGCCTGCCTTCATCACGGCTAGCATAGCGATGGACGTGAACCGAGATTTTTCAAAATAGCTGGGTACAACCAATCCAGGTCCTATGCCGAGGCAAACAAGCTGATGTGCCAAGAGCGAAGACAAAGTATCAAGCTCGCGGTATGTCCAATCACCATCCCAAGCACATACAGCCAAAGCATCTGGCCGATTTCTGGCCGTCTCGGCGATCAGATCGTATACAAGGGCCTCCTCAGCCTTGGGCAACATCCTGTTCCAGCCCCATATGGTCTGGAGGTCTTGCTGGCTAGCAACGTTGAGATGACGATCAAACGCAATTCCGTCTGCTTGGTCGACGCCATCTGGTATAGTTTGGTTTTCGTAGCCAAGAACATGAGCCATGTTGGTGAGCAAGTCGTACACAGCTCGAACGAATACAGAGCTGTTTATCGTAGAACAGAGCGCTGTAACTATTGCAAATGAGGTTCAAAACATGGAATTGATTTTTTCTCCAAGTACCTCAACAACGTCAAGGACACGGAAGACCTAGCCTCCCGCAGCAAATTCAAAATGGAGCCAAATCTTTTACAATGTCGGAGCCGAGTGGCATCTACAGAACTTCCTCACAATCTCACCCCCGGCAGGCATCCGACGGATGATAAATCGTGTGTGGAGGTCAATTGACATGTTGCATGAGCCTCTCACATCAGCTTCTGCAGGACCACTCCCGAACCGCGGGCTACCGGCGCCGACATTGACTAATTCCACCAATGCTTTCAGCGTTGCCTCTAGTGCTCACTCCATGGGCATTCAACTACGTATGGCCTCTGTGGTGCTCGGCACAAGGGCAAAGGATTTCGCCTTGTGCACCTCGGCTGACAGACGACAGAGCCAGGTAGAGCAGCGGCTTTGCCCAAAGCTATTCCCGGCAAGAGAAAAAATTCAGATCACATAAAACCGCCGCTCGTAACATCTAAAATCTCACAGATCCACGTAATCATCCAGTCTCAAGCTAACCCCCACATGTCTCTGCGCTGTATCGAGACGAGACTGGTCACTGCTGATGTAAACTTTGCCGGAATAGCTTCGCGGCAAAGGTTATGCCTTCATATGCACCGGGTGAGCTGCAGGGGTAGGTGACAACGGCAGCTCTCCCCATGTTGACCATGCAATAATACTGATGACGGTAGTAATTCACTCAATATTATAAGCGCTAAAGTCTCCGCGCATGCCAACGAAATGCTCGACCTTCCGAATCAACTCGTCGCCCCCACTCGTTGAATACCGTCTACGGACCTGGTGCCGCCAAGTTTTGGGTATTCCAACATCGTCCGCCGTGGCGTACCTTGGATTGTATGTAATGTAAGCAGTTGGCTGACATACAGGTACGGGCCAGGGTTTGTCTCGGCGATGGACCCGTGCCGCCACCCGTCCGGCTTGGCAGAGGCTCAAACCTGGCGAGAGGGAGGCACGCTGTCATTGGCGCCGCAAGATTTGCCCCGTTGCAGTCGAGGTTGCATGTAGATGGAAAGGGTGGGGGGCCAGATCAGATCACGACATCAGAGGAGTTGCTCCCCGGGCCACGAGCTCCGGGGTTCTAGAACTTGAGTAGTTGATCTATACGTAACAGGAATGATGCAATAGGCTCAGGTCCTTGCTGTTGATTATGAAAATGCAACAACGGCCCGTATTTTCAACGACGTGAACCAAGTTTCGAGGTGGGCCAACGAACGCGTCACCACTACGGTCCGGCTGACGACATTGACATGCCATGTTGCACCTATTTTGAGATTCTTCCAGATTGTGTGCATCTTGGAATCATACGACAGACTAGAACCCTCTGCCAACGATCCAGGGAAGGGCCACCCCATCCTTCTCGGCAGCAGCTCGCGGCATGAATTCAAAAGACTGCCTGGGGGTAGTTTAACGTGACCAACTATCTCTTTACGCATACCAGGTTTTATTGATTTTGAGTTCAGAAATATCCCCTCTGTTAACGAATCCATACAATGAGACCGGGGAAAAAAACAAGAGAGAACAAGACAAGGCCTGCGCAAGAAAAACCATGGAGTTGTTGCATCTTCTCGCTTTTCATCTGCTTAGACTCTATATACCATTTCTCATCTTTGGCATTGCCATCGGCCGCATCATATACGCACTATGGTTCTCACCGTACAGCAACGTTCCTGGCCCAAAGCTCTGCAAAATCACGGGGTTTTGGGTCATGTACCATGACATGATGTTGCAGCGCAATCAAAAGATATACCAGTGGCACGAGAAGTACGGTTCCATCGTCCTAATCGCCCCCGGACAGATCTCAGTCTCGACTGCAAATGTAACGAGACAAATCTACACTTCATCTGGATATCACCCCAAGAGTTCTTATTTTGACAACTTCATCATGTATGGTGAGCGACCCATATTTAGCACACTTGACTGCAGAGATCATCGGAGACTCCGTAAACGAACATTTGGCTTCTATCAGCCTACATCAATCTATAAGCCTGCTGTCCTGGAGCCTATCCGACATCAGATGCTGTTATTCTTGCGGCAACTGGAGACAGACTTGCAGGCGGAAGAGACTCTGGATATATTGCCTCGCTGTAATATGTACTCTTTTGACAACATTACACGGTTGATCTACGGTCCCCATCACTGCGCCCGCACAGTCGAGCCAACACTGCAGGAGCGAGTTATCCTGGATGGGTGGAAAGAATGCGAGGTTTGAAACAACTTCCAGTACAATTTCCCCCGCCTTTATAAGATTGTCAAATTAGCCATATGCCAAGCTTCTCGGAACCCCAACTTTCTCGCGGCCGAGGAACAGATTAGTGAATGGAACATGGCGAAGCTCACCTCCTCATTAGAGAAGCCCGACACTATTGTGGCCTGTACGCTCATGAGCCAACTATATGAGGCTCGCACGGAGCACGGCGAGCCGCTTCCTTTTTCCTGGATGGGTGCCGAATTATTGGATAATATCCAAGCAGCACAAACTACAGTCGCTCTAGCTCTAACCTATGCTCTTTGGGACTTGGCTTGCCATCCTCAATGGCAGCACCAGATTCGCCAAGAGCTTCTTACGAAGCCCCTATGTGACGATGGTTTTCCTTCTTTTGCCGATATCAACTCTGCAGAGGTACTCGACGCTTGTATCCGAGAGTCAAGTCGACTGAAGCCGCTTTCAAGCGGACGTGCAGAGAGAGTAGTACCCGAAACTAGAACTTACGACGATGTTGTGATTCCAGCTGGTGTAGGTTGCTCTCTTTCCCTTCTTTCCTTTCTACCTGTGTATCTCTAATTGTGTATTTGGTCTTGATATCCACTGCGTCTTGGCGTTCATAGACTAAAAAGCCATGTCATAGACTATCATTTCGACTTTGACAGCAGCAATACACCGTTCTCCCGATGCGTTTGCCGAACCGCACAAGTATAGCCCTGATCGCTGGCTACAAGCCGACACGGCCCAGCTACGAGCCATGGAGGCCTGTTACATGCCATTTGGGTACGGCGCACGCCTGTGCCTGGGAAAAGCATTTGCACTTGCAGAGATTAAAATCATGATTGCATGTTTACTGCTGAGATTCCAACTTTCTGAGGATGCGCAATCTTTAACAAACGCACAAACAATGACACAGCTTGGAACTCAAAACGCACTGCCGCGAGGATTGCGGTGTGACATTAAGATTCGAAGAGTAGATGTGAAGTAAATACTATCGCACAATCAAAAGAATAGATCTATTACTGCAGAGCAAAGTTTAAGCATCAACGTCCCCACAGCGTCATGAATTTTGCTGCGAGGTGAGCCGTGGTGTAGCGATGTTTCAAGAAATATCGCTTGTCACTTCTAGCTCGTCCACACCACACGGAGTCAATCAGGATGGACAAGAACTAAACGGTGCCAAGTAGCTGGGGAAAAGATGGACCAGACGTTGGAAATGTGTCAGCATCCTCAGACTCCGATCTGACTGGCGACCAGAAAGATGTACGTAAGCGAGTAAGCAGAGAACAAATCGTGCTTATACGTCGCGGCCATAATCCGAAGCTTGATGCTTGAGCTCCACATGCAGGAAAATTTTTGATCAAATCAAAAGGAGAAAAGAGGGAATGGGGAATGGTAGGATTGTCTGACATGGGACGATGATCCCGTACCCAGACCGCAATGCCGTTACAGCACTGGTCGGTCCTCACCCATGGCTGCATTAGTCCCTGGTTACTAGGCAATTTACGCGCATGCATCTGTTTCTTGATTCTTTATCTCTGCTCGTCGCGGCGGGTCGAGCCCAGTGTCATCAATTGTTCTAACTGATTTCGATCTTCTCTCCCCATGAGCATTGCTGTCCGGGTGGCCACTATTCGGTATCGATTTTTTCTGGATCAGTTGGACGTGCCTTAATATTCGAGGTCGATTCATTGCCCTCATTGTCTTTGTACGATTGCTTCATGTTGTACACGCAGACCTCGCGTTGAACATGCCCGATGTCGTTCCTCCCTGCTCCATCCAGGTTCAGGATGTCTTCGGCGCTACTGTCGCCGAATCCTGCTTGGGAGGCTTCGACTTTACGCTCCTTTTCGAGGAGACCATTCTAACAATTCTGCCCCTCGGCATTACAAGTATGTTGGCCCCTTTCCCCTTGTCCTCTACTTGGCAGAAGCGCCCTGGCAACTGACGTGTCCGAGTTCTTCTGGCCGCGCTACGTGTATCAGCCCTCTGGAATAGCGCTCCAAAGGCACGGAGATCATGGCTTTTCCTTTTTAAACTGGTATTTCACCTTGTACTTTTTTTTTTGCTCCATGTTTGCGAAGCTGCAAGAATGGCGGCTAATGGCGCCTTGTTGAGATGGCCTTTTCGGTTTATATCGTCCTTCAAGTTGTGCTTCTAGCCTTATGGGCCCGTTCGGCCGCCCCGACCACCAAGACCACTTTGGCGACGGCTTCATTGACTATTGCGGGCTTCATTATATTTGCCCATGTGTCTTACTTAGAGCACACACGCTCACTACGTCCATCGACGCCCATTACCATCTATCTGGGCATCTCCACCTTGCTGGATCTCGCACGTGTTCGCACCCTGTTCTTCATTCCCGGCAGCGAGTCGGTTGCCAAGGTCTATCTAGCCAGCTTCTGCGTCAAGTTGATTATATTTGTGCTTGAGCTGACGGAGAAGCGCCGGCTACTAATGCCCGCGTGGCAGGATGCTTCTCCAGAGGCAGTGGGCAGTGTATATAATAGAGTGCTCTTTTTGTGGCTAAATAGCCTCTTCTTGAAAGGATTTCGCAACTTCATCAGCATAAACTCATTACCGACTCTGGATACGGAGCTCTTGAAAGCCGCTGATCCAACAGAGCTTGCGGAGAGATGGAACAGAAGTGCGTTTGGTACTCCAGTTCAGCGATTGACAT